CCCCCCCCCCCCCCCCCCCCCCCCCCCCCCCGAACCCCCCCCCCCCCACAGAATGTTTTCAGGACAGCGAGCAGCTCACGGAGACAATGATAACGAGGCTGATTCACCTCCAGGGTGCCGTCATCAGCGGCTGCAAGGTAACTCCCCCAGACCCCCAAGACAGTCACAAGCTGTCTGACGAGTCCCCGTGGAAAAAGAACAGCTCGTTCTGTTTGTCTCAGAGCAGACGTCACGTCATGTGACCTGATAGTGTGGTTGCTTGTGTAGCGTGGTGCGTGACACCCTGTGGGGAGCCACATGCGGGGGGGTTCAGGAGTGATCGCATCGGTGACAGACACACAGTCTGTCCTGCTTCCTGGGGCCCGGGGGGGCATGACGAGGGCTTCATCTTAACCAGTGTTCCTTCTCTCCTGTGTGTCCCCTTGTGCCATCCCCGCTGCAGAAGAACGGCCTAGCCACCATCACGCCCCAGGCCGTGACGGACCTCCTGGCGGTGCTGCGGGCCTGGTGCTGCCGGGCCTCCCCCCAGCCCAGGGACCCGCAGCTGGTCCGGCTGGCCCTGCAGAGCCTCACCGCCATGGTGCACCTGCTGCACTCCAGCAGCCCGGCCGAGCGCCAGGTGGAGATCCGTTCCGTGCTGGACGGCTTCTTCCAGCTCCTCAACTGGAACCGGCTCCCGGGGGCGGAGCAAGTGGATGGGCGGGGCCTGGAGGACAGTCTCCTCATGCTGCAGGCCCACATGCTAAGTTAGTACCCCCTCACCCTGGTGCACCCTCCCTCCCTCCCTCATCGTCCTCCTCCACCTTGCTCTTTCTCAAAGCCTGTCTACCACTGATAATTAACGCCCCGACCTGCTTTTGTATGCGTAAGTGAGGTGGTGTAAGGGGTGGATGAAACATTTTCAGAACGATGGGGCTGCGTACGGAGGACGCTGAGCTTTCCCCCCCCCCCCCCCCCCCCACAGACACCGTGCCTGAGATCCTGCAGTGCTCAGATCGGCCTGCGCTACAGGCCATTTTCCTCAACAACAACTGCTTCGAGCACATCCTGCGACTCATCCAGAACAGCAAGGTTGGCCCGCTGCCCCCGTCCCCCAGTCCTCCTGTCCCTCTGTCCCTTTGTCTGTCTGGCCCTTTGTCTGTCTGTCTGTCTGGCCCTTTGTCTGTCTGTCTGTCTGGCCCTATGTCTGTCTCCTTTCCATTCCTCTCAGTGTGTCATGGCCTGCAATATTGTGTGTGTGTCTGTCTGTCTGTGTCTGTATATACGCTCATACGCTTCAGCACCTGACGCCCTGAGAAGGTTGAGCTCTGCACACTCACACGTGTGCCTGCACCTCTACCTGTGCGTGCGAGTGTGCGTGTGTGCGCTGACTGTACCTGTGCGTGCGAATGTGCGTGTGTGCGCTGACTGTACCTGTGCCTGTGCATGTGAGTGTGCGTGTGTGCGCTGACTGTACCTGTGCATGTGAGTGTGCATGTGTGTGTGTGCGCTGACTGTACCTGTGCCTGTGCATGTGAGTGTGCGTGTGTGCGCTGACGTGGCCTCTGGCTCTGTGTCTGTCTCTGGCAGCTCTATCAGAGTGGCAGGCCCCGGCCGGAGCAGGGGGGCGTGCGTGACCTCGCCACGCTCTTACTCACTGAGACCCAGGTGGACCAGGTATCCCCTCAGCTGCTCTGTGTCTGCATGCATGACGTCGCTGATTAAACTATAGCCGCCTGACAGCAGGAAACTCTGCTCAGGACCCCCCCCCCCCCCCCAGTTTTTTCTGGAACCCGGGGCTGGACAGCAGCCATCAATGACCCAATCAGCTTCTTCACAAAGAAGGTGATCAGTTTGATACTGCCCCTGGGGGGGGTTAGATATGATGATATTGGCCTGGAAGGATCTGGAAGTAAAGAATCGTAAATGCCTGACTGGTTCAGAGTTTCCTGTTGACTCGCTGCAGTGAGAGATGGGTGCCTCTGATTTCTGTTGCATGCTGGGTAACTGCTCCATGACCGCAGCTCTGGTGTGTACCTTCTGTGTGGTGGCTGTAGGCTTCGCCTCGTTAGCTGTAAGGCTTCTGCTTCCTGTGATTTTCCTTGCTTTCACTTTGTCCACAAGCAGTCAGTTAAAAAAAGTATAGTGCACCCATATTACTCGTTAAGGTCTCTCAAGAACCTGCAGAAATTTTATTCCAGATAATTTTTCTGATCTCCCCCCTAAATGGGACTCAAGGGTAAATTACATTTATAGGAAAATCATTTCCTGGAAGTACGTTTGATGTTTTGAGGTCCATATTCACCAAAGGCATGTAAGTTAATGAAACTGCATATCAAACACTAATAACTGAAAATTTCTAGTATAGAGTCTTATTTTTAAACAGTCTGTTATGCTGTGTTGTGCATGCCCACATTATCCTGATAAACAGCCAGATCTATAGCAACACAGGAGTACTTGTTGGGCTCTGACCCCGTGACCCCTGCAGAGTAGCATGCTGTGTTCGCATTGGTCGAGCTTCTCCATTTGGGGTTCCCGGTTAGTCGTGTGACGTGCCGTCCCGTGTAGGTCTGGGAGAAAGGCTCCGATGCCATCACGGTCCACGCGCTTCGAGTCCTCACGGCCATCATGAGCAGCTCCACCTCCGCCAAGGTATGCTCTCCTGTGAAGTGCTCACTCCGCCATCCCTGCTCCTTCACTCCCTTCTCATGCACGTTTCCCTTGCTTACAGGATAAGTTCTGATATTTAATTTAAAGAACCTGGTGCTTTGGGTTTTTTCGTTTTTTTTTTTTTTTGCTTAAATTTTTGTAGCTCAAAACGGCACCTCTTTTTGAGACATTTATTTTCCACATTTTGGTCTGGTCCAGTTGGCCCATGCTTGTTTAATGTTTGTTTAATGCTTGTTTAATGTTTCTTTTCTCAGTTTGTTTTGGCTTAGCTGGTTCATTTGCTGGAAATATCACCTTGTCAACAGGTGGCAGCTTGTAGTTCAAATCGGTTGGATTTGTCATGTTTATGTTGAAGCTTTTAGTTGCTGAGTATTTAAATTTCAGAGGGAGTGCTGCATACAAACACTGCAGAAATCTGTATTAGACTGGTTTAATTAGTCATTTTTGACAGTGTCTGCTGAAATGCTGCTATTTGTGTGCGTGCACGTAACTAAGCCTTGTGTGGTTTCTTACCCCCCCCCCCCCCCAGGAGGTATTTAAGGAGAGGATTGGATACTCACAGCTGTTTGACGTGCTGAAGAGCCAGGGCCAGCCGACCAGGCGCCTTCTGGAGGAGCTCATGAACATGGTGAGATGTTGCTCCTTAGACACCCAGTTCCAGGGCTGTTTTGGCTCATCTTCCTGCTGTTTTCTCCACCTCACACACACTCCTCTCCCCGGGCAGGCGGTCGAGGGCCACCACGCGCAGGCAGCCTGGCTGGGCATCGCCAATGAGCAGCCCCTCCTCCTGCTCCTGCAGTGGCTCCCCGACCTGGAGTCGCGGGACCTGCAGCTGCTGGTGTCTCAGTGGCTGGCGGGTGCCTGCGGCGGCTCGCTGGCGTGCCGCACCGTGGCCGTGGAGGCGGGGCTCCCTGGCACCCTGCTGGAGGTGCTGGCCCAACCGGAGCGGCTGGACCGGCACTGTGCCGACGCCCTACTGGGGCTGCTGCAGGACCTGGGCTCGCTGTCGCTGCGGCCGCAGGAGCTGAAAGGGCTGCTGAGGCTCCTGCGATGCGAGCGGGGCCCGCACCCTTACTGCGGCCGCGCTGTGCGCGCTCTGTCAGCCATGGCGGCGCGTGAGGGCGCGGGGGCGCTGCAGTACTTCGACCTCACACCACCCATGGCGGGCATCATGGTGCCCGTCATCCAGCGCTGGCCGGGCAGCGGCTTTGCCTTCCACGCCTGGCTCTTCCTCAGCTCGGACGGCCCGCTCCCTCATGGGGAGTTCACAGCCACGTCGGCGCCCGGTACCCCCACCTCGCCCAGCAGCCCCGTGTATCCCAGGCTGGGGAAGGGGCTGCGCAGAAAGCAGCTGTACAGGTGCGGCCTGGGGCCAGGAGATGCGGCTAATGCTAGCAGTGTCACATGTTCCTGGTTGTTAGTTTTTTATGGTGGTTTGATGGTGGTTTGCTCAGGTTTGTTAGTGACTTGTTCAGCTTCATGGTATATGATGTAAGCGTAATGGAAACATGGATGGGTGATTTTCTGTTCCTGTTTGTGGAGTGAGAAAGTGACGGTGACATGTGACGCCCATCCTCTCCCCGGCAGCTTCTTCACTGCGAGTGGCACCGGGTTCGAGGCCTTCTTCACCACCGAGGGAGAGCTGGTGGTAGCTGTGTGCACCAAGAAGGAGTACATGGCTGTCAGGATGAAGGAGCTGCGTCTGAGGGAGCCTCTGCGTGGTCCGCTGTGCCCGACCCGAGCCGGACCGGACCGCTGTGGTCCGCTGTGCTCGACCCGAGCCGGACCGGACCGCCGTGGTCC